TTAGAGGAGCTTGGGTCCTCACTGTCACTGATGATGGCTGCAGTTCTCTTCAAGAGATCTCTGGTCCTACCCTCAGCCTGCTGGTACAGATCCTTTGTCCCACTGGTGCAGCCTTTCTACCTTCCACCACTGACCTTTGGTCCTTCCCAGTGCAGATCTTTGATACAGACTTGCATGAGACATTGTCATGAGCTCTAGACCAATCTGGCTGGATTGGTGGAGGACATTGCCATAGGCTCTAGGTCTTCAGCTGGCTTCATGCAGGACATTGCTGTGGGATCCTGGCCCTCAGCTAGATATTTGGGTCTCTAGTGCATGGACAGATCTCTTGCAGTCTTCTGCATTTAACTTTTTTGGTGAACATTTAAAAATAATCCTATGTCTGTTAATGTTTCCCTCCTTTTATCTTTAAAATAAAAAAAAAGAAAAATAATCCCATAAATTATAAGTCCTGTATTGTCTATTCCCTTGCAAAATCTGACTATAATATACTGTAAACCTAAGTCATTGATTTGATGGACATCAGAACATTACATTATACAACCTAAATATATACAATAATTTGTCACTTAAAATAAATTAATTTGGTTTTTAAATAGTTATTATTGTGTCTTCCATCATTTTTAATGTTTTTTTGCTTTTAATTTCCTTCTGTCCACTCAGATGCATTTGCTGAATTCCATATTTTATATATTATGTTTTTGTTTTCATCTTTTATTGTTTTATGTAGTTTATATATTCTTCTTCCATTCATTGTTTATTAAATAAATGTTATTTAATTGTCATTGTTTAGCATTTCACAATGTACACATATATCTAAACATGGTATAGTGCACCCTAAATATGCAACTGTACTTGCCCACTATTTTAAGTGTGAGTTTTAAAATTCTCACATATTTGTGAATTTTGCAATTCCCCCTGTGGCCAATTTACTTTAGCAGTGTTTTTTGATTACTTGGTTTGTTATTCACAGAATCAAGAATCATTTACTAAATGCCAATCGAACCCTTGTAGATGAAACTTCACAAAGCCAAATGTAGATAAAAATCTCAACCTTCATGAAATAGTACATTCCAGTGGAGTGAAGAATGTAAAGTTCCATGATTTTAAAATAGATTATATCTATGAATAACATATCTGTGACTCTCAGTCTATTACAGAACTAGTGATTCTCCTAGTCTTTGATTCAGAGAATACCCAGCTATCATTTACATTGTCTATAGTTCAGGAGTTCAAGGACCATGAAGAAAGAAAGACAACCTGTACCCCAAAGCTATCCTCATAATAAATTCCTGGTCTTTAGCTCTCCTCATCCTAAATCTCTGTTCTCAGCCATTTGGAGATCATAAGGAATTCTCTGCTATAGAGACTATGAACTGTGAGGACAGTGGGAACAGCTGAGACCCTTCTCCCTGAGCTCTACCCTGTTCAGTACACACCAGCCCTGAGGCACATAATGAAAACACATACAGACACCAGCCCAGCCATGATCAGATGTGGAGAGTATAATATACATAGAAATGTGTAAAGATGAAATCAGAGGGAAAAACAAGGAAAGAGAGGCAGAGATAGGGAACAGAGAGAAGGGGCAGAGGGAGGTAAAGTAGGGGGAAAAGAGAGAAAAAGATGAAAATGAAAAGCCAAGGGAGAAGAAAAAGAGGCCTCTTATTACACTCTCTCCAGTGTCTCTCAGTATCTGGAGTCTTTTGTTCCCATTCCCTGTCTCTATCTCTACTTTCCTGTCCTTGTGTAAGTCACTCGCTGTCTACAATGTCAGCCTCTATTTCTCAATTTCTCTGGCTCTCCCTTTAGGTCTTTTTGTGCCCCCTCAGTCTCTGTTACTCTGCACTATTTTTTTTTTCTCTTTCTCTTTCACCTCATCTGTCTGGCTGACTGTAAGACTATTTTCCTTTTAAAATTCTGTAGGAGTATAGCCTGGCTTTGCTGAGGAAGGGAAGTTTCCAAGCACTCTTGCTCTCTTTCCCTTTCCAGACAGTAAAGCATGGCAAGTTTATACCAGAGACTGCAAAAGAAAAAGGGTCCCAGCGAAACCCACATCCATCTCTTGTAACAGAGATTAATATGACTACATCCACTAATGTTACAAACTCATCACCACATCATAAAAGTTATTAGTGAGAGAGCCATCATGGTGGATTAGAGTTAGCAGGGCACTCTAGTTGCTTGGAAGACCTTTCCCAGTATCCAAAAATACTCAGGAACAAGGCAATCACAAAGAAAATATGATATCTATGCAAAATAGAATACTACTCAGCTATTTAGAAAATGACAAATTTGGGACATTAATTGGAAAATGGATGCACCTGGAAAATATAATGTTGAATGAAATAAACCAGACATATAAGTTTAAACACGTGTTAGTAACTTTTCTGTCCTTGCTGAGACAAAATACCTGACACCCAAGGTTAAAGGAGGGAGAGGTTTATTTAGCTCACAGCTTGTAGTGGTTTCAATCCATAATGGGGGTGCTCTAAGGCAGCAATGTCTGGCAGAGGCACAACTGTTCATGACAGTGGAAGTTACCAAAACCAACAAGAGGGGAGGGGAGACTAAGCCTCTTTCCGTCCCTTATATTGTATTTTCAGGCTACCTACCCTAGGGTGGGTGTAGCACTCACACCCTTAATCCCAGCATGAGACCATGAATCAGTCACAAACTCTGGATTCAGCCATCTCTGAAAAGCCTGCCTGCCATGACAACATGAGACTTTGGGGGGACATCCAGACACAAACCATAACAATTACTATATGATATCTTTCATTTGAGTAAGGCAAAGTACCAGGAGCAAAATGAAGGAGAAATAGAAAGAAACAAACAGATTTCTTGTAAATGGGAAGATGTTCAGGAGGTCAAGGGCAAGGGGAGAGGAGGAGGGGAAGAGGAAGTAAGAAAAATTAAGATATGCCACGTATAGTGACCAAATAACCACAATGAATGTAAACATTACATGTCATAAACATGAACTAGAAAGAATAATAACAGGGCTCCTCTTTTCATCACATTCCCACAACAGTTGATCTGTCCCTTAAAGAGTTTCAGAGCTGAGAGTGTCCGGACAAGCGTGAACTGGGTGTGGGAGACTAGATTGTGGCTTCTCTCAGCACCCTGGAACAGCTTAATGGTACACTGTTTTTCCCCCATATTTAAGTTTGAGGATTATGTGAATTTGTGCTTCTTATAGTAGCCCCTTCTTATAGTAGGGCAAAAGTCTACTAGCTACTGTACCTTACCCAAGAGGTATGGTATCTCAGTTGTAAAACCCACTAGCTCCAGTCTCTCCTGCTCTTGACTCTAAGAAGGAACATTGGGCTTGAAGGACGGAAGTTTCCCACCATGAAGGGGATTGGAATTCAATTCCCAAAGATGTGTGCAAGGAAAAACCTCCGATAAAAATTTTAAGAACCAAGAATTCCAAGTATCGATGATTCAAAGATCTTGAGTTGAAGGTTTAGGAAACTGAGATTCCAAGATTTTGAATTTTAGACTCAGTAGTTGTAGGATCTGATAGTTTTGTTACTCCACAATTTTTAAAATTTCTTGGGTAGAGGTTGCTGAAGCCCCTTAAGGAGACCTGCACATGGATTAATGTAGTTTGACTCTGATGCAGGGTTGTTAACCAGCATGTTGGTAATGATGTGTGTAGATGGGTTCATCCTTATCCCCACTTTAGTGAGCAAGAGGAAGCCCATTCAAAGATTTTATGTTGTAAGACATAGATAAAATAAATTGAGAAACATAACAATCATAGCTTATTATGAATCCTGTAGAGTTCAGAGGACAGGACACCCCTTCTCTTTTTTCAATATATATACTTTTCCCTATAATGGGATGAGTTCCTTGTGTGTGTCTATATGGGTAAGCTTGTTGTGCAGCATTTAATTGTAGAAACACAGAAATCCCAGGCTGATGGATACAGCTGTTCAGACTGTGTACTGCTCAAGCACAACACCATAAAGGATTTTTTTTTTTTTTTTTTGGTCTTTTTGAGACAGAGTCTCCCTATGCAGTTCAGGCTGGCCTTGAGCTCACTTTGTAGCCCAGGCTTGAACTTGAAGCAATCCCCCTGCCTCAGCTTCCCAAGTGCTGGGATTACAGGTGTACACCACCACACCAAGCTATCATAAGGGATTTATACTGACTCACATGAGACTAGGCAAGAGATTTTGGCACTATCATCTGGGTTTTACAACTGGTCCTAGCTCTATTGAGATCCCAACCTTTAGAACGCCATGACAGCATCTGTGTTCATGCATATCCTGAAAAGAACACACAGTCATACACTTGTGTGCAGATCTGTCCGAGACCACACACATACTCATGGCTATGTGCTGATCCAACTTTTTCTTGGCCTTCTATGGAACTGTTTTTCTCCCTCAAACACAGCATTGAGGGGCCCAATTCCAGTTTCCCAGCCTGACTCTAGATATGCACAAGTGATATGAAAGTAGGGGGCAAGTGTGTGGTAAAACCGGATCACCTGGCTGCCAGGGATCTGGAGAGAAAGAAAAAAACCTTGACCAGGCTCCTCAGGTTGTGTGATCATATACTAAGCTCTTATTTTATTTGGTGAAGAGGCGAGTTTTTTTCTTGCAGTACTGGGGCTTGAATCAGGACTTTTCCACCAAGCTGCACCCTCAGCTCCCTTCCCCTCTTTAAAATACAAGATCTTGCTAAGTGGCGAACTTGCCCAGGTTGGGTTCAGACTTGCTTCTGCCTAAGCCTCCCAGGGTGCTGAGATAGCAGATGTGCACCACCATGCTGGCTTAAAGGATAACTTTTAAAATCTGCCCCAAGTACAGCGGGCACAGACTTGTGTTCAAGTTTTTGCTGGATATTTATGTTCTGTGAGACCACGGCGACTTAAACTTTCTAAAACTCAGCTTTGTTACCTGTAAAACATACGTGAACCCTTTTCCCCTTTATATGGGTTTGTGAGCGCTGAGATCGTGTTATGCTTTCAGCACAGAGCTGACAGAGAATACTTGCACAATAAATAATAGCTGTTATTATAATAGCACAATATAAGGTTTCCCTTTGCTCATCTCGGCTTTGAAGGATCTATCTTTAGCAAGGTGAGCCCTGTTCTTTCTTTGCTCTTGCCTGTCAGTCACTCCCCTTCGTTTCTCTCAGCCACAATCTACTCGCTAGCCACTCCCACTAGCCCTATCCCACCCCCCTCCCTTCCCTGTCTCTGCCTGCTCGCTCTGCCTGGGCTCAGCCCTGACTTAGCGGAGCAGGAAACTCATAGTGTAGTTTGGTGGGATGGTGGCAAAGCCCACGAGTTTCGGAGACACATCGATTTCCTTGGGAGCCTGTGGGGACTTGAAGCGGAAGTTCTGCATGATGGTGGTGAGGAAAAGGAAGAGCTCCATTCTAGCCAGGCCTTCTCCAAAACAGTACCGCTTTCCTGAGGAGGAGAGGAAAGAAGGGCGCCGGTGAAACCAGGACTCCCCAAAGCCTCCCCCCGTACTGAAGCCCAGCTACCCTGTCCCAGGAAGAAGGGGCTGCAGTACTGTGGCCTGAGAGGTCTTCCCAGAAGCCTTTAAACCTCTCAGCACCTCAGTTCCTTTGTACATGAGGTAGGGCGATTGACGTCAGGCTCTAGCAACAGGAAGTTTAGATGCCCCTTCCCTCAAAATATACTCATAAGTATGGCTACTGTGCTGCAGTCTCCTTTGTAACAGTCTGAAGAATTGATCGTGTATCCTTGGAAAACTCTAATTCACTCCACTCTTTCATTTTCTCCGTCTCTAAATGAGGTTTGTTCATCCCTTTCCTTTTTCCTGGGTACAGATACGTGGCATTTGTTAGAAACTGGATTTTAGGTGGTTGCCCAGACAGTAGAGTCCCAGAGGAACTTCCCAGCTAGAGTAAGACACAGGCTGCACCTTACATAGGGGACCCGGAATACACTGTTCTCAATGATCTGAGCAGCACTTAAGCAGCAAACAATGGACTCTTACCAATGGAAAACGGCACAAAAGCATCACTCTTCTTAAACTGCCCCTTCTCATCGAGGAAGTGCTCAGGGCGGAAATCTTGGGGGTTGGAGAAGAACTTGGGGTCTTTCAGCACAGAGCCCAGCATAGGGAACACCTCAGTGCCCTGGCAGGAAAGAGCAGGGCGTTGATGTCAGGGATGAATGTGTCGAAAAGTGTTAGAGGGCCCCCTTGTGAACAAAAATGGGAAGGACAGGGTTGGCATCCGAAAGAGGAGCTCTGTAGGATGTCTGAGTCCCTGAGAGAAGAGGTGAATCCTCTGACACGGGATGCAGTGATTTCTGAATGCAAAGGATAAGGGGATATAGTGGTTGAGGAATTCTTTGATTGAGGGAATTGGACATCGGCTGGGAAGCTTCTAATAGGGATAGGGTGTTAAGAATCCCAGGGAATGGATCACTGGTCCCTGTATGCTGGCACCTTGGGAAGGAGGAAGTCTCGAAACTTGGTGTCCTTGGTGACCCTGCGAGCCAAGCCCATGGGGATCATGTCTCCGAATCTTTGGATCTCATGGATCACTGCCTCTGTGTAGGGCATCTTGGCTCGGTCTTCAAACTTAGGCTGACGGTTCTTGCCAATCACTCGGTCAATTTCCTCATGGATCTTGGCTAGAGGAGAAGGGAATGTGCTTAGGTAACCAGAGGGTCTGGGTACAGATGATATATAAAACCAGATGCAATGCCAGCACCTATGTACACAAGGATGTCGATACTCAAAACAGATGTTGCCAACCACCAGGCATGGTGGTGCACACCTGTCAGCCCAGCACTGGAGAGGCTGAGGTAGGAGGACCATTGTGAGTTCGAGACCAGCCTGGGCTGCAAAGTGAGCTCAAGGCCAGGCTGAACTGCATAGTGAGACCCTGTCTCAAAAGGATAAAAGCAAAACAAAACAAATCAAAAACAGATGTTGCCAAACACATTGCTGGAGCAGGGTCCTGTTAATCTGATCACGCCAAAATCATAGGTGAGGCATAAGGAAGGGAATGGCCTGGGGTGTGGGAGGAAGCTAGCTGTGGGCTTAGCACAGAAGAAATTTCCTGATCAGTTCATACACTTCCACTATTTTATCAACTAATGAGCCTCAGCTTCTTCCTAGCTGATGAATAATGCCTTGTCTCTGCACAGGAAGGCGTGTCTGAGTGTCCGGGCACCTGGAAGAAGTGGGATCACTGCAGCAGGTTCGTGGGAGTCTGGAAGATCTGTAGTCTCCACTTCCCTGCTGCCTCAGCCTTACCCTCCACTTCTGGGTGCTTCATGAGCAGCAGGAAACCATAGCGCAGGGTCGTGCTGACAGTCTCTGTGCCCGCAAAGAAGAGGTTTAGTGTGGTCAGTACCAAGTTCTTCATGTAGAACTCTGTGTTGGGGTTCTTCTGCTCCTGCAGGGAAAGAGGACTTCAGGTGAATCCTATTCCTTCTTCCTTTGGGCCCTTTGGGGTTCTCCTTTGACCCATTTCTCTTAGATGCAGACCTAAGGTGGGACCAGGGACCCTAGATCTGCCAGACTCTCTCCAATGTCCAGGCCTTTCCCCAGGCCACTGCCTCTGTCTGAAATACTCTTCCATGTTCTTCACATGCGGGACTATCTGCCATTTAATGATCAGCTTAGTTGTCACTTTTAAATGGGAGGAATATTTGGAAAATGAGGGTTAGGGAACTGCTGTGAGAAAGATGGACAGACATGTCAGGATAGAGTGAGTCAGTTAGAATAAGGGACAGTTTTTCTCAGACAAATACAGAATTTTAAGTGGCAGCATCCTTTCCTACCCCAAACATATTGAAGCTTCTTGTGGAAGGGTCCCTTCCCTTGACGCTTTGAATTTCACACTGCATAAAACATCTCTACTCTGCATAGATGGAAGGCTGAAGGGAGATGAAGGTGGGGACCTTCCCTTGTTACACCTGTGAAACTAGACCACCTGTCCAAACAGGTGTATCTGATGGCTAGGGTAGAAAAGGACAGAGAGCATAGTGGCCAAGGGTAGCAGTCTTAGAGTCAGAGAGACCAGGTCTGAGCTAGAGCTCACTCCTTCCTTACTTCCTTGTGACCTCAAAAAAGCCATTTGTATTCTCTGGTCTACAGCTTCCTCATTTGTAAAATCAGAGTCATAGTAATAGAATCTTGTTCAAGATCTGTCGTGGTTGAAAAATACCATCAAGCACTTATAATAATGCCTGGCTCTTAGCAGTGTTGTACTAGTGGTTGCTGTTATAATTTGCATGCACAAGTTCTACCTGTCCATAAGGACCCAGGAAATGGAAAAATGATATTTACTTGTGACTGACATGGTGAAGATTATTATGATGAGGGCTCCTATGAATGGGTCCCTGCTCCCGCTCCTCCCTACCTGGCTTTGAACCTCCCCACCCTGGCTTTTGGGTGCACCTCCTGCATGCGGATAAGAAAGGAGTCGATGAAGTCCCTTGGTGAGTTGGGGTCCAGTGTGCGTTGGTTGTGCTCCACCTTCTTGGTTATGAAGTCCTCAAGCCCCTGAAGCTCTTTAAAGGCCTGTTGCTGTGGTCCTGGCAGGTGCTTCATTACTGAAGAGAACATCTCATAGAGCTGGGGGTAGAGGAGGGAGGAAGCAAAGAAAAGGCACCTGTCAGTGCCAGGATCTGGTGGAAGTGAAAACTGTGTAAGGGCAAGGAAAGCGTGGGCATCAAGGCACTTTTCCAGGTGTTTAGTATTCAGGTGGGACTAGGTGGCACCATATATGCAAATTTTCATAAGGGTTAAGTATGAGGGCTCTTGTCCAAGAGTTTAGGTGAGACAGACTGGAGTACACATTGGTTTCAGGTATTCAGGTAAGGATGCACTGGAAGATCTCTAGTTGTTGAGATTTCCCGTTGGGATTCTTATGAGAGGTCACCTATTTATGTGTGTAGGCATTCAGGAAAGCTCAGATGGAGACAGCTGCTCATATATTTATAGGATTTGGATTGGGGATTTCTAAAATGTGTTCAGAGATAAATGCAGTGCTGGTGTTCAGGTGTGATAGTGAGGAGAATAACTGTTCACCTATTCAGTATTCAAACAGGCTGCATAGAGGGCCTTTTTTTATATGAGTGAGCTGTGTTAATGACCCCGCTCTGGGTGTTTGAGGAAAACTTTGCCCTGGATATTTATATGTAGAGTCTTAGTTTTAGTACCTGTCCATGTGTTCAGGCATTTAAGCATCTATCTTGCCCTCAGGTTCTCTTTGGGGGCCTCTTGAGGTATCGGGTGTCCTTGGAGACTGGATATTGGGCACCTGTCCCGGGTTCTGGTATAACTGCTGTAGTGTCCCTCAGTGAGAGATCATTTTATGGGACCGTGTCTGGAGGGCGTGGGAGGTAGGGACACCTGTGGCTCTGTGGGGGATGCAGTTGGTAGACGGTGGCAGGGGCGAGCTAAGACTAACGGGTTACCTGTCCAGTGGCGGTGGCTGTGAACTGGAAGCTTCCCAGCATCATGCGCAACAGTGACAGGAACTCTTTGTCCTCATATTCAAAGCGGTCCCCGAAGACAATGGAGCTAATAACATTGGAGACTGTTCGGCTCAGGTAGAAGGTGGGATCAATGACTGCGCCTGCAGGGACGGGAGGGAGGGAGCAGAGGGAGAGATGGAGCTTCGGTAAGAGAGACAGCCAAGAGGGTAGGCGGGTGCTTGAGAAGTAGAGGCTGATACAACACCGCAGGGATGAGCTGAACTCCTGGCGCCTGAGCCTGATGCGGGAGCAGGAAGCCCGGGCACTCTTCCCGCACCGAGTCCCCAGACCGACAGAAGGCGCAGGTCCTGAACTTGGGGTGTTTTCCCTCTCCCTTCCGTGCACTCCGGGGGGTCTAACTCACCGCGCGTGTCCCGGAAAGCCTGGATGAGGAAGCCCGCCTCCTCCTGGATGCGCTCCTCTATGCCACGCTTACCCACGCCGAAGTCCCGCAGCGTGGTGATGGAAAAGCGCCGGAGTTGCTTGGCGCGCTCTCCGTTGCTGAACGCAACACCTGCGGAAGTGAGTGCAGGGGAAGGAAGCTGTCAGAAAAGAGGGTGGGAGAAAGATGCAGACCACCCCGAAGGGGCTCCTGGAAAGGTGTGGGCTTGCTCAGAAATACAGGCAGTGGAAGAAAGATGAATACAGACCCAGGGTGCTACACCGCTAGAGAGCGGTACACAGACTCAAGGCGAGAAACCTACAAGGAGAGATAGAGACCACACCAAAGAAGAGGAGCAGAAGAGCGACTCTGAGTGGCAACACAGATGCAGGAGAGACAGAGACTCCAATAAAAGGACGGAAGGAAAGAATGAGAGCGGAGATGACAGAAGGAGGGGAAGTGAGAGTGCAGAGCTGGAGCTGGAAATATAAACTGTGAAGGATTCCATACTGAACTGGGAAAGAAGAAAGAAAATAGGGAGAGAGAATGAGAGAGGGCCCAGAAAGAAGAGAGATTGTTTCCGGGAGAGGAAAGGGGATTTGGAGCAGACGTTGTGTGAGATTCTTACTCAGAAAACAAGAAAGAGAAGGAAAGGGAGCAACAGCTGTGGGGAAGCACAGAAGCCATGGATGACAGAAAGATCAAATAAAATTAGAGGATAAGAACACCAACAGGTACTTTAAGAGATTCTAGAAGATGGATCTACCAGGGAAGCAAGAGACCTGTATTGCATGAGTAAGGAGGGGATGAGGCTGGAAGAAATTAAGCACAAAAACTCTAAGGCCAGACACAGACACAGTAGAGGCACAGTGAACAGGCTTGTGGAAAGAAGACAGGACCCTTTGCAGCCTTCGGCAGGCAGGTGAGTCAGTGGGAAAAGCTGGGGAACTGAGACCACTAAGTCTTCCTGGATACATTCACCCACATGGTGGCCCCCTTACCATAGCCTTTGAAGAGCCAGTCAAAGGTGGCCTGCTCCCCTCGCCCACTGAATTCCTCAGCCTGGTCCACCAGAGCCTCCTTTACTGCGTCCTGTCCACACAGCACCACGACCCGGCGAGGCCCCAGGTAGATGGTGAACACAGGGCCATAGCGCTCGCTGATCTGATGGGAGTGGGTAGAAGTGGTTATAGGGGCCACTGCCTGCACTGATCAAGTACCCAGAAGTCAAGTACTGGGATATATTTCTTCCAGTCAAGAGACTGAATATCCTAATACCTGATTAGTGAAACTTCAAAACTACCTTATCCTAAGACTCTGCTTCACCTTTACCAATCCTCTGACAAATACCTAGCTAAATGAGTAGCCCCCAACACCCAGCCCATTTCACCCATCCTCCTGTCTCGTGACACCTTCATGAGGGAATTGTACATCTGCTCCGTGTTCAGCTGCAGGTAGTTGCCAATGAAGGGCAGTGGGGTGGGTCCAGGAGGCAGCTTTCCCCAGAGCTTCCTCTGTCGCCAAATGGACATCAAAATCATTACACTCAGGCAGGTTAGCAAAGCCACCACAAGCAACCCTGAGGCCAGCATGGTGGCAGTGAGGATAACAGACAAATGGTGATGGATGAGATGGTTTGCCTTTATATTCCCTAGAAGAGACCGCCTTTGGTTCTGATTATATAATTGTCATATTTCACCTTCTAGCTACACTTCCTGCCATGCACCCCACCTAATTTGGCTCACAGCCAGGAAATGAGGTGGCTGTCTGAGCACAAGAATAGGAAGCAGCCTCTATACTACAGAGGAAGTATTCCAAGGCTGTGGATTACAAAGAGGTGGGGGCAGTAGATAAATTCCATAACTGAAAACTTTAGAATATTTACATGGGAGCTTCTGAGCTTTGGATGTAGGGTCTCAGAGTGAGAAGGCCCCTTAAGTATGGATTTTAGAGTCTCAAGAGAGATGAATACTAAGCTCTTACTTTCATTGGCATAAGACTTTATGTGTAGCTATGGATTTGGGAGTCGTTTAATAAGGGGAGACATAGGTTTTATAGGTTGCAGGAGAGGAAACTCTAAAGGTATGGATTTGAGAGTCCTACTGTAAGAAGGACCCAGAACTATGGGCATGATGGAGTTCCCAAGAGAAAAAGTATATAGAAGATCAAGTCCAGCAGGATCTTGGAAGTGAGCACCTAAATCCAGGTGTTTTGACCTGCTTGACTTTAGCCATGTGCTGTCCCTTGATCCCCAGAGTCCTCATGGGAACATGAAATTGAGGCCAGGATGGACACCATAGAACTTAACACCTCTATTACTTATGTGTGTCCAGGAAGTGGGTGGAAGATCAGAGTCACATTTCAGTGAAGCTTTGCACAGAATTACAGAAAAACAACTCCCAGTCATAGTTGGCACAGGGACTGACCAGGCCTTGGGAGAGAATAATAACAAGTGGTGGAAAATCCTTATCGTCCTGAAAGTTCTACTTTAAAAGAGCCCCACTGGGCTTCCCAGATCCTTAGAAAAGCTTACTAGATTCACTGACTCATTTCTAATATTATTATTGTTAGCATGAGTATTTCCTATTCATAGATGTGTGCTCTAAGGACATAACAGAGAGGGGGGCAGGAAACATATATATGAGGTGCCCTTTAAGCAAGTGGCTTAAACTCCTGTCTCTCTTACTTTCAGTTTCCCTTTTGTGGACTTTGGTTTCCCAACTCATAAAAAGGGAATATTTTGGGAACTGAAGGTCATATTTGAAAGTGTGTTTAATCATTACAGGTGATTCTTGGTTTTGCTAGTCCTGTAGTTAGCAGGCAGAAGAAACCCTAGCAGAAGAGCCTTAAGTAAACACCACTGCGGAGCATTAAAGTGGACCCTGTGAAGGTCAGGGTAGAGAAGGAATGAATGGCCCTGTTGTCTTTCCTTCACTGAAATTTTTCTGCAGGCTTTTGGTGAGCTTGTTCATTTCCAGGGAGATTATTAAGTATATATGATCTTTTGAATTTTGTAATCATGGTACTGGTTTATAATCTACCTCGTTGAGGCTGCCACGGCAGTGAGGGAATTCTTCCCCTTTCCTTTCTTTTCCTGGCCTAGTCCACCCTGGGGGGCTAAATGAGGACCAAACTTAACAGATGGTTGATGCTGAAATTAGCATCAGCAGTGGATTACACTGGCAGATGCAGATATCAATATCAGGTAGACCCAGGGAGGGAGGGGCGTCAGGTTAGCACTGAGATTTCCTCCAGGTCTATATCCTATTGGGAATGGGGAAGAAGTTGCCCCTGAATATGATGCCAAGAGAATATTAGTACAACCACCTGTGGTGCCAAAGGATTCTGAGAGCAGCTCCAGGTGACCAGTGAAGTTGCCTTCAGGAAAGTCTAAGGCTGGCACTTTACTGGCTCTGAAGTTGGTCCCAGAAGGTCTGACATGAACATTAGGTAGGTGCTGAGATTAGTTTTATGTGGGCTTGAGATTGGCCTCGTAGACCCTGAGAAGAACCCCATTTGGGCACTGGCACTGGGCACTGGGCACTGGGCACTGGGTAGGTTTTGATGGCTGCATCTCCAGGGTTGCATCTCTAACTTTGGACAAGTGGAGGTGGGGAGGTTGGCACTCCCAGGGCTTATCTTGCTCTACCTGTTCTACGCTGCTGGACTTTGAGACCTATGAGGAGGGAACAAAGCAGAGACTCAAGTTGTTTGTTGGTGTTGGAGGAGAAAGAAGTAGAAAGGAGGATTAGCGCAGGCTTGGCAGGTATTAATTCCATAATCCTGATTACCAGCCTGCACCTGGGTTGGCCATGGGCCTGGCCCTCTCTTCCCTTTATTTGCTTGAGTAGGAGAGAGGGAAAAATTTGGAGAACTTATTTTTCAGTGAAGTTGGCACCAAAAGAGCCCTGAGTGTTTAGACAGGCTCCCATGGGCTTTGAGGGGTAGAGGTAGAATGGGAGAAGTACTTGGGGCCACAAAGGTCAAGCGTGTTTGTCTTTGGTGGTTTTACTGAAACATGGAGTGGGGGATCAATGTCTCAAATCACAAGGGTGGGACACATACTAGTGTCAGTGTCTTATGACACGCTTGAAGAATGATCTAGTGGTGAACCCAAAAAATTTCCTTCCCTTGTTGGACCTCTGTTTCATTTTCTGGATGAATCAGCTCTTATTTGGATGAATGGTTAGGAACAAGGTTAAGGCATGAATTTGGAGTCCTAACCTTATCCCTTTTTTGTGTAATCTTGAACAGATGACTGAAATTAGCCCTACTTTGAGCCCTATGAGGTCAAGGACAACATATATCTCTTAGGTTATTTTTAGAGTTATATAAGTTAATTCATGCTTAGTTCAAAGCAGAAAATGCACAGTAAATGTTAGCTACTTTATTAGATCTTATTAATTTGTAAGACAGAAGAAACAGGTGGGAGTTCCTCTAGACCAGTGATGGTGTACCTTTTAGAGATCAGTTCCCAAACTGTAAACAAAATCCACTAATTTATTGCTGAGTGCCAACAACCCTAAATACTGGGTTTTAGTTTAGAAAAAACAACTCATACATTAGCATCTTTTGTCTTAAAAGAAAAGCGAATAACACGCATGCCATAGGTTTGCCACCAGTAATATAGGCACTATCTTGGCGTTCATATTTTCTGGCTTCCCTAAGCTTCTTTTTGGGGAAAAGGTTAAGGGAGAGAGTTTTTTGGGGCACTTCCCTCTTTGTCCCTTCTTTAACCCAGCCAAGAATTAACATTTCTCCCAAAGCTGTGAATAGTAAGGGGACCTCCCAGGTGGCCTCCTGGAAGGTTGATGCACCAGTGGTATCTAAGGATGAATAAACTAGTGTTAGCTCCCTTGTCTGTGATGCTCTACTCATCTTTTTTCTTTATCCTTCCCTGAAGGACAGCCTTCCTCACAAGTTTCTTGTGTATTTCTAGATGTCTGTGTGTTGATATCATTTTGTTAAGTGGTTTCTCGCAGATGTCTCTGTTTTGTTCATCCTTATTTGTCTTTCTGTGTGTGCATGCTTAGGTTTTCTGTGCATACATGTGCTTCATTGTGTCCATGTTTATAGAGTAATTTATATATGCACCATACTTGGGGGGTGTTTGTACATAATGAATATTCAGTTTATGTCTACACATGTACAACTACATGTCTAAAGGGGCATGTATGTGTCTGTGCCAATGTGCCTGAATGCCTACCAGTCTTTGTATCTATGTCTGTAGTCTAAGTATACACATGCTTGGGGATAGGCCATTTGGAGGAGGTTTACAGTGTATATTTGTGTCCAACCTGCTGCATAATTGTGTGTCACATAACTGTGTCCCATTTGTATGTATTCCCAAGTGGATGGCTAGTTATAAGCACATGGGGTTTTTTTTGTGTGTATATTCTGGAGTTAATATGTATGCATAGAGGTCACGTTGTGTACAGCTGAACATCTGATATCTGGCTGTGGTTGTGTTTGGATTGAAAAATAACCCTGGCCCAGCTCCATTTCTTTTCTTGAAAAAAAAAAATTCTTTTATTTTTCAAAGTATTTTCTTTCCTTGGTTTTTAAGAGTCTTAGCAGGTGAAAAGCCTCCAGGCAACAGGTGTGTCCTTGAGTGTTTCCAAGTTTGATAGCTTCCCACTGCATAAATTTAAATATCCCCTCAGAACATTCTCCTTCTCACGGTATCACCTGCAACCTCCTAAGCCATTCAACACATTTAACAGAGTCTTTCAGCTAGTTTCCCTGAACAATGCTAACCCTGTGCCAGCTAACACAGAGGTGAACAGAGCACATTGGGCCTTATTTTAATGGGGGCTCATTCATAAGAGGGAGACAGACCCATCATCAGACAGTGACAGCTCAGAATGAACAGTGCTGTGGAGGAGAGGAATGGGTGGAGAGACAGGGATCAGAGGGATAAGAGAGGGTGTCTGTAGGAACCCAGAAATGGCACTGCCAAATGTATCTGGAATATATGATCTTGTCCTAAATGAGAGTCTTTTCTCTCCCTTTTTAAACTCAAGGTGAAATAACATAAAATAGCCACTTTACAGTGAACAGTTTGGTAACAAAATCTTAAGAGGTTTCTTATTTTAAATTAAGTACCAACATGGACAATAATTATATCGTTTGTTAAACTTATTACCTTTTTGTGTGAAACATGATCTTAATGAAGATTACTGCAGCAAGCCTGGGAGGTTGGTTTTATGATTACTGATCTGTGAACAAGTTAAATAAAGCTCCCACAGTTGGAAGATACTTGCTTTGGCTTCCACAGCTACTGAGGTTAGCAACTGAACATGACCTTTTATGACTACTACTTCAGACTGCTCAGATCCACCTGTTTGGCTTTATGAAGGGTCAGAAAACTGACAAACTTCTGTGGTTCTTGAATAACCTCTCTGGATATCTGAAACAAAAGATTCTGGGATGTTAGAAAATAAAAAAGTCTTTTAAAAGAAGAGAGATTTGACTTACTAGGATTTTTGCGTTCCTTGGAGCTTTAGCCAAAGACCCAGTCAAACAGTGTTGCTCCCAGGCCAGTGGCAATTAAGGCTACAGACATGGAGAACAGGAGCTGTCAGTATGAAAAGTTTGTTTTAGACTTCAGAGTGATGACCAGGATTAGGGTGTGGTTTT